GTTTTCTAATGCCCTATTTATGAGGCTCCAAAGCAACAGCAAACAGTAATGGAACAGGACAGAGAAAACTGGGGTGTGTGTGTGTGTGTGTGTGTCTTGGCTCTGTTGGCTGGGGGGAGGGAGAGATGTCCGAGAAAGCAGCCAGTGCTTTAGAAACCCTTGCCGGTACCCAGAGCCTCACACTCTGCAGATGGCCAAGGACGGCGCTCTCGATGGGGGCTCAAAGCGCAAGGTATCCATCACTTACGGCAAACCTGGGACCTCAAAGTCCTCTCCAGACCCTACGCTACACAGATTCCTGTCTCAGCTCCCTACTCAATGGAGAGATCACGTTTTGTTATGGAGGGTAGGGCAGCTTAGAAAACAAAGAAGCGTGGCATTTGGAGCCATCTAGCTGGAGCCTTGTCCACCGTTTGAGCCCAGTCCTCCAAGGCTCTAGACAGAAAGACACCCGTGGGCTGATTGTTGTAGACTGTTTCCACAAAGTGTTCCACTGGAAGCTAGGAGGCTGGGCACTGATGCTGTCACTAGATAGCTTTGCACCCTTTGCCTCTCTGGGCCTCACTTCCTTCTCCATAAAGTAGGGTTGAACCACATGATTCCCAAGGCCCTTTGGAGCTCTTTGCCTCAGCCAGGAATACTGGAATCCGCAGGTCAAGCACTCCTAGTATCTGGTCACTCTTAGGGGTCCTGGGAGTCTGACTTTTCATCAGAGTCAACATCACTTCCTTTGAAAGACGTCTTTTCATTTAGAGGTGGTAGTGATGTTTGAAAAGAAGGAAACCGAAAGAGAGCTGAACCTGACTGAGAAGAATGGATTTGGCGTCCAGGTTGGTTCTTCATGCAGCCCCCAGACCAAGGTAAAGTCTGGTATGTTAATGGATGGCATCTCGAAAGCATCCAGTTCAGACTCTTCATTTGGCAGAGGTGAAGGCTGAGGCCCAGGGAGGTAAAGGGACTTGCAGTGAGGACTGAAATGCAAGTCTCCTGACGTCCAGTCTAGTGCTCCTTTCCCTCCACCACGTTATTTCTTCCACCGCCACTTTATAGCAGTTTGAAATCCTGCCTTTGGAGGCTAGTTCTTCTTTTAATTTTTTGTTGCTCTGTTAAAATATGGCCACCTCAAGGTAGCATTTCCTCTCTTACGGATCCGTCTTGAATGATAAACATGTTGAACTCTTATGTCAGCTCCCCTCCAAACCCCAAGCTGGGCAGAAATAGGCCTTTGCATACTAAGCTGTATTTGGTGATGAGTTTGGAGTGTTGATGAACAAGGAAGAGAGTGTGACACTGGGGGGAACAGCCAGGTTCAATACAGGAAAGCTGGACATTTGAAGAGGAAGAGACGGGTCTAAGAGGTACATGGCAAAAGGGACATTAAGATTCCAAAGATGCATTTCTTTTTTAATTTGAGTTTACTAAAGTGCAATTTACATACAGTAAAATTCACCCTTTCAAAGGTGCATTTTTTATAAATTGTTTTTTTGCTAAGGGCCAGTCCAGCCCAGGGTTTGCCTAATGGAGAGAAAGCTAAAGCAATGAGTTTTAAAGATGTAGAGAGTACCAAGTAGGAGAGCAGGGTTCTCATAGCTCTGACACCACTATTGCCGTGACCTTAGGCACATCACTGTCACCCTGTGGGCCCTAGTTTTTTAATTTGTGAAGCAAGCAGGTTGCACTGGTTCTTAAAAGAGCCCTTCCAAGGATGTTCCCAAGGAAAATATCTGTAAGACTCCACAGAGAAACGAGTACACGTGGACCAATTCATCCCTTTCTCCTCTGCTTTCAGCTGACCCTGCCCACATTCCCGGTGGTGGTGAAGATTGGCCATGCTCACTCAGGCATGGGCAAGGTAAGGGGGGCTGGCCAGGCTCTGGGGTGGAGCCAAGAAGGGTGCTTTGCAGAGAGCCCACTTGTGGACCGTTCTGCATCTGTTGCTGATAATTCTTTCCAAGAAGGAGATGGTTTGGCCCCTCTGAAGCCATGAGTGTTACCCAGCCAGGCCCCTTTTAGCAAGCAGAGTGCAGGCCACCAGACTAGTCCCTGGGCCCTTTGCAGTGCCTGTGGTTCCTGAGCCCCAGGAAGGCAAGCTCAAGAGAAGGGGATGCGGGGGGAAATGGGCTCCCAGCTCTGCATCTGGATGGAAACATCACAAGGGGTATAGAGGCTCAAGGCTCTTGTGACTCAGTGTGTGTGTGTGTGTGTGTGTGTGTGTGTGTGTGTGTGTGTTCCTCTCCCTCCCTCCTCCTCTCCCTTGCCCCGCCATTAGGTCAAAGTGGAAAACCACTACGACTTCCAGGACATTGCCAGCGTGGTGGCCCTCACCCAGACCTATGCCACAGCAGAGCCTTTCATTGACGCCAAATATGACATCCGGGTCCAGAAGATCGGCAGCAACTACAAGGCTTACATGTGAGTTGGGGCGGGGTCTCCTCACCCTCCAGGAAGCTGCCAACTCCCTGTTTCTCCTCACCTGGCCCACGAGGCAGAGGACAGAGGGCGCTATTCAAGTCAGGGAGTCTGGGCCTGGCTTCCTTTCAAGGCAGAGGAGGGGTTTGCAAACTAAGATAAGAAATAAAATTAATATTTATTTTCACTAGCCTCTCAGTGAAGTCTGACAGCCTCCTCAGTTACGAACAGAGACAACAGACTAGAGCAATAGCAGCAGCACCTGTGATCTGTCACTAAAGGTGATCACAGAGACTTTTGTGTCACATACACTTGTGACAGATGTCTCTAAACACCAGTTACTTTTATCACTACTTAAGAATCATGGTATTCAGAGTTGCCACTACATTTATACCTGTAAATACATTTGTTATTTACAAAGAAACACATTTTTCACTAATCAGAGATTTGTTTGTTTATTATTTTGACAACTCTATTTTGATCACTGTTTTACATAACTGAGTTCCTTTGTCATCCTGTGTACTTTATTTTATACGTTTGTGCATCTTGCACGTTTTATGCCTTGAAAGGAATCCATAGCCTTCACTAGGCTGCCAGGGCACAGAGGAAAGTTAAGAAACTCCTGATGTGAATATGTAGCCCTGCAAACACTGCAGAGCATTAAAAGCCTAGTAGTTATAAGAGATGACTTCCCCATGGGACTGTGTCCATTCGCCAGAATGGAAAGTCTTCCTCCAACAGAGTTTAGAAAAAGAATAGATTTCAAGATGACCTGATCTTCCACAATATACATGAGGATGCAAATGGCTTACGATTCCAATTTTGGAAATATTAACCACACACTTTTAAAAATATCTATGGTAGTGCTTTCTTTACAAAGAAGGAACATTTACAATGTGTGAATTTGGTCTTTGCCACTTCCCTCCCCTTTCCCCATCCATTTCCACTCCTCTTCCCTGGTCTGTCTTCTTATTATTTATACTCTGCCTGCAGAGTTAGTTAGGAGCCCCTTCCACGCACTCTCTTCTCATAACCCTCCACACACAGCTAGTTTTGCCCTTTTCACGCTGGGGCGAGTGTACCACTCTCCTCCAAGCCCCTTGGGTGATGGCGGTGGGGTCACCCCTGCATCCCTGCCCCCCTGCGCAGCAGCAGCAGCAGCAGCAGCAGGTGCCCAGTGATATGCGGAAAGAGCCCTTGTGGAGAACTGAAGCAAGGATCGTTTTTATCTGCATTGACCAGATTCCTACTTTCATAAAATGTATAATTTTTAATATATAGCCTTTCTGCTTCAGAAAATAATTTAGGGTTGCTTTAGAATTATGCACAATGTCAATTTAAATAAATAAATAAGTAATTTTTTAAAAAAGATTAAACAACAAGTTCCTACTGTACAGCACAGGAAACTGTATTCAATATCTTGTAATAGCCTACAGTGAAAAAGACTCTGAAAAGGAATACATATTCTATATATAAAACTGAAATCACTATGCTGTACACCAGAAATTAACACAACACTGTAACTGACTGTATTCCAATAAACAATATATAAAATACAGTTGTGCACAATGTAAGACAATGATTTAAAAGACCACTGTAGAAACTAGGTAAAAGAAGCAGAGAAGTCGGTAAGTTCAGGACCTAGGAAAGCAGATTTCCTAACCTTTAGTTCTAAAATCCCCTAAATAAACACAAAGTGTTTATGACAGTGGAGCAAGAGTGTCTTGATGCTTAAAAGGAGCCACCACCTCTTTAAAGTTTGGGGTTTCTTAGAACAATTTAAATGAAGCATAAGAAAAGGGAATCCCCCAAAACTATGAAGGGTGGGGGACCAGAGCAGCTTTGGAAAACATTTACTTACTTTTTTGTTTGCAAGGGACAGTCCGTGGTTTGGGGGAAGTTTAGGCCCTCCCAGCTCCTCTTCCCCAAACTTTTGGCCGTCCTCTGACTCTCAGAAGAAGGAACAAACCTGGCAGTAGCCGAGCTATGGTTTGAGTCTTCCCCTCTCCCCTAGTCCTTGCCCGGTGGCCCCTTCCCTCCCAGACACCCCAGGTAGCCTGCACAGATCTGTGCCCCTGCATAAAATATGCGCGACATCATTATTACTCACGCCAAGTTTCTGAGGCCCTATTATGTATGGTGGCCTTGCGCTGGGACGGGGAAGTGGGCAACTCTCTCCCGCGTCCTTGAGGAGCCCAGCCTGGTCAGAGGAACACCTGTGAACCACCAGTGTTAGCAAGACAGCGTTATTTTTACTATGATCTGTCTTTGTGTTTCTATGCATATTTTGCAAGCCACTCAGCTGTTAGTTTGTTTTTTCTGAACTAGGTGGGGAGTGCAAGGAAGGTGGAGCTCCACGAGGGAACCAAGAGTCTTGGGTTTTTATCTTGTGTCTCCTTTGACTGGATAGACAATCTTGGACAAGTCATCTAACCTTCCTGAATCTTAATCTCCTTGTGTGTTAAGTGGGGGCAAGAATCCCAGCTGCTTACAGCAGGGGGTTTGCAGGGAGGCTCTGGGGAGGGGTTGGGGAGGAAGAACCCTGGAGGGTAGTCAGTACTGTACACATGTGAGGCGTTGTTATTACCACAGCAGTTGACTCTGGGCCGCCTCAGGGCTCTGAAGAAGTGGCTGTGTGTCTCGGATTCTCAGTGTCTGGAATCAGATCTCTGGAGAGGATGACCTGGTTTCTGGTTCTGGATATGCTCTTGACTGGCCCTGGGAACTGCAGCGCATCATCCAGTCTCCAGTAGCAAGGAGTGATGAGGATGGCAGGTGACGCTCTGTCAGGGGTTGAGCAGGGCTTCCCTGCCCCCAGACCATCCCCTTCCTCTTGACCTTGTCTGAGTGAAGACTCATAATTTAAAAAACATATTTGGGGTGTTTTACAGTTTACTTAAAACTGTATCAGTGGATCCTCATGTTTACGCCGGAATAAGGGAGGCTCAGAGCGGTGAAGGGATTCACCTACAGTCGCCCAGCCAGTCAAGAGCAAATCCAGAACCAGAAACCAGGTCATCCACCTCCTGTTTAGTCCACGAATGGTTGACTCTAACACACGCTCACAGATGGAGGTGCAGAGGGCATGGAAGAGAAAAGGTTGGTGACCTGAGTCCATCAGCTCCATTTGATGGATGAGGCAGCCTAAGCCTGAAGAGGGTCCCTGACTTGTGCGATCACATTGCTAATACCGTTAGGACCTCAGAAGTAACTGTTGAGGAAATGAGTAAGTGAGCTAGTAAGGAAGCCATTGAGAGATGTTCACAGGAGCCCTGAGGGTATTTCCAGAACCAGTAGAATTCCATTCATGTACACCAAGATGGTAGGCTGCTGGGAATATAAGACACAGTTTATACCCTCAAGTGGTTTGTAGACTCGTGGACAGAAGACTCAGCTCAAATAACTAAAGTAAAAAGTAGACGTAGGATTTTAAGTGAGGTACAGGCAGAGTCCTCTAGGCAGTCTAAGGGAATCAAGTGCTCATCTGGTTGAAAATGCCAGGGAATGCCCCCTGGAGCCAGAGCCAGAGGGCCAGACTCTCGTAGAAAGGAGGTGAGCATTGCAGGTGGGGATGCGGCAGAGGCAGCCAGGCTCTGGGCTCAGCAGGCAGGCCCCTGGGCTATTGGTGGGACAGCAGCCAGGGAAAGCAGGAATGGGTGAAAATTCTGGAAAGCTTCATGCCCTCCTCTTGCTGGTGCGGCTGACTGTTCTGTCCTGGCGGGACCTTGTTGTAGGAGGACGTCGATCTCAGGGAACTGGAAGACCAACACTGGCTCTGCGATGCTGGAGCAGATCGCCATGTCAGACAGGTGAGTGACAGAGTCAGTCCCAGCCTGGTGAGGGGCAGGCTTCCGTAGATGAAGAGGTGTAAGAAATGAGCCCTGGCCAGAGGGAGCTTCTAATCAGGCAGGACATGGTGGAACACGAAGGCCCACGCACCCTGCTGACAAGATCAGGCAGGACTGGGTTATGTGCTAAATTATGGAGATAAAGGCCAATAATACCATAGAAACTCCATGAAAGGAGGACTTACCCTGGGCTGGAGTAGCCAAGGAAGGCTACCTAGAGTAGAGGAGCCCTGCTCTGAGCCTGGGAAGACGGGTAGGATCTGGAGAGCAAAGTGGGAGGGCACATCAGTAAGGCACCGTGCTTGACGGGGATGGACAGCGGGAGGGCTGGGGAGGGAGGCTGCGGGATGTGGAGGCAGCCAACAGGTTTGACAGGAGCTAATGCCCCAGCCTCGGAACCCCTTCCCATCCCCTCCAGGTACAAGCTGTGGGTGGACACCTGCTCTGAGATGTTTGGTGGCCTGGACATCTGTGCTGTCAAAGCTGTACATGGCAAAGATGGGAAAGACTACATTTTTGAGGTAAGTCTGGCCCAAGGAGTATCTCAGTAGGAGACAGCCTTCCAGGCTGGAGGCCAAGCTTTTGGCTTGAGAACTATGTGGGCAGCCTGGACTGCATTCAGGTAGGGTCTCCTGGGCCGCGAGGAGGTCCTAGATGACACAACCAGGGGATGTGCACCGCAAAACACATCTGCCGGCGGGGAGCTTTTGTTTCCAACCAGCTGGGCTGACCCACACCTTGTGAAAGAGATGCCAGACCTGGGTTCCTGGGTCCCAGCCTGCCATTTCCCTGGGAAGACTAGCAATCTTGCCATTCTTGATCTCAGGAAGCTGGCCTTGGGCATCATTCGGTCCAATCTGCTCCTTTTGCCAGGGAGAAAATGGAGGCCTGACACCTTAAGCGTTTGCCCAAGGCCACAGAGTGAATCAGTGTCTCAGCCTGGGCTAGAATTCAGGTCTCCTGGGTGCAGGAGATTCTCCTTAACACCTCTCAACCTGGGAGACACTTGACTCAGCCTGGGCCTCCAGCACAACTTCAGTCTTTTCCCGTATTAAAGGGAGAGTCAGTGGCTGTATGGGTCCTTCATACACATTGCCACCTAGTCTTCCTGGAAGCAGAAGAGGCTCTTTGCCTGGAGTTGGTGGTATCAGAGAGTTAATGTCAGGAGCCCAAAGTGGGTGCGGAACCTATTCCATGGGCTGCTTGGCGTGTAGCCTCCTGGATGGTCTTATCTCTTCGCTCTGGGTGGGCCTCAGTTGTCTCCTCCTTGAACGAGAGAGTTGGACTACAAAGTCTATGACCCTGGGCAGGCAGACACTTCCTAAAGGAGGAGGGCATTGATCTGGACCTTGAGGTACAGGAAAAACCAGGATTGGAGGTGAAAAGAGAAGGTATCCCAGGTCACAAGCAAAGGCAGCAGTCTCGTCACTTAATGGGCAGAGTGTGTGGGGACAGAGACCGTGTGGGTGAAAAGTCACAGAGATGAAAACTGCCTGCTCCTCACCAGAGTTAAGGGAGTGGCCTCCCTGTGTCCCTGCACCCCTGCCTGCAGGCCTCAGAGCTGGGGTGCACTCTCCTTGCTTGCTCCCTCTCCCCACCACCTTTAGTACCAGACTGAAGTCTCACTGATCCCTGGCCTGGGTGAAGGTAGGGGGAGGCCCAAGGCAACGATTTGCAGGAGAAGGGGATGAAGGGCCTATTTATGCGAAGGATCATGCTTCCAGCTGAAATTAGAAGTACCACCTTCTCCTCCAACCTGACTCTGCTGGCAAAAGCCCTGCTTATTCTGAAAGACCAAGGTTGATGTTTCCAACCCTCGCCAGGTCATGGACTGCAGTATGCCACTGATTGGGGAACACCAGGTGGAGGACAGACAACTCATCACCGAACTGGTCATCAGCAAGATGAACCAGCTGCTGTCCAGAACCCCTGTCCTGTCTCCTCAGAGGCCCTTAACCACCCAGCAGCCACAGGTAAGCAGGGAAGAGACCAGGAGAGCAAGACCCATTCCCAAGCCCACTGCTCTAGCCTGTGGAGGCTCCAGGACGGAGCAGAGGACAGAGACCCACAGGCCTGGATGGGATCTCGGAGGTCTTTCCCCTCCCGCTGTTCCCTCCCCTCCCGTCTGGAGGCCTCATGACCCTCCACCACCTCTCACAGGAGCCTTCTTGTTAGCAGTCCGCACGATCAGCTATAGAACTGTCCAGGGATGGAGTTCTGGATCGCTCCCCTCTGAGCTTAAAGTCCCCAGGGAACCAGAACCAGTTTCCCCTGGGACTCAGGATGCTCCTGCTTTTAAATGGGAGGTCTCTGAGGAAGGGCTGGGTCAGACCTCTCAGGACCTGCTGGTGAGGCATCTGCCACATTTGTAGAGAAAGGAGGGTGTTTATGAGAAATCTGCTTTCCTTCCTGAGGGAGAGGAGGCAGCTTTCTTCAGTTGACTGTGGCGTGTGACTCGTGACCAGTCACATTCACAGTGACACAATTCCAGCCGCGAGTCTAGCGGGGTATCCACACTGATGTTTTTGTAGAACCTCAGGCCCTGTGGCTCTCGAATGGGCCAAAGAAAATCAGGGACCCTGGGCCGGAGGGACCTTCGTCCCATCTAGGAGGTAGCTTATTTTTCAAAAATATCCCCAAACTCTTCTCTCCGCTGAACAAGGGTATAATGGAGCAGCAAGAACTTAGGACAGTGAATCCAGGAACTGAGTCCTCTTCTAGCTCTTTGTCTAAACACCTGTGTGACTTTGGGGGAAGTTGCTGCTTTTTCTAGGACTCATGTTTTTTCCCTTGTAAAGGAAGGTCTCTCAGCAATCTCTTTCATGACCCTACTTCAAAGAGTTGGGAAGGTGGAACAGAATAGTGACTCAGGTGTGGGCTTTGAAGCAAGGACGACTCAAGTTTGAATCCTGGACCCTCCATCTGCTGGCTTTGTGACCTTGGAAGAGGAGAGGTCTGAACAATAGCACCTACTTTTAGGGTTTGTTATGAGGATCAAATGAAGTAAATAACCTAAAATATGGACAGTACATCGTAAACACTCACCTGAGGTTCCCTGTATTACTTCACAAGTGAGCACCCTCAGTGTGGGCTCCTTACAGCCTTAGGCTACAATCACTCGCTTTCCTGAAGATCGGTGCCTCACTGGGATTATACTGCAGTCAGAAACTAAGTAATTAGATGCTTGAAATCTTTTAGTAAGAAAGAAGGAAAGGGGAGAGGGTATATAGCTCAGTGCTTAGCAGGAACAAGGTCCTAGGTTTAATCTCCAGTACCTCTGTTTAAATAAAGACATAAATAAATAAACCTAATTACCTCCCACCCCAATAATTTTTTTTAATCGAAAAAAAGAAGAAAAGGAGTGGGAGAGGAAAAAAGCAGTACAAAGTAGTCTGGATTATTTAGTATAGTAGCAAATAACTCCACGTGTATCTTCTCATCATTTGAATGTCTCAGAATCGTAGACTAGAGGCATAGTTCACATTCATAACAATGGGCTTGAACCATCAGGAGAGGGCTACATTTTAGTCAGTATTCCAAATTCTGTTTAAGAACACTAAAAACATAATATCTAAGTATTTCTGTAGAAAATCACTGAAATAAAACTGTAGGGCCTTTGGTCAGCCAGTTTCCTCTCTGGATCTTTACCCTCCACCCCCCACATAATGTAAGATGACATCTAAATACCTTTTGCGCTTTAAAAATCTCTTTGAGCAGAATTCTTTCATCCCAACTGATGCTGCATTAATGGGAGCCTCTGGGCTGACGATGTTGACGCTCTGTGAGCGTAGCCCCGTGCGGCGGGATGTTGCCCTGACGAGCTCTGTGTGTGTCCCTCCTTCTCTACATGGCTCATGCTGTGTTGGGCCTCTGACCAAGTGCAAGATTCTGTCCCTGCACATCAGGAATGTGGTCACTAGAGAATTACGGTTGGGTAATGAGGAAAACACAGCTTAATTGCTTGTGAGAGACACCAGCCCATTATTTAAATATTGTGTTTAACTAGACATGATAAAAACATTTTCCTGGTTAAAGTAATATCAGGCCTGCAGTAGATTTTATGATGTTGTAAATCTGACGGAATCAAGGCATTTGAGTTTTAGTGTTGCCTTTTCGCCCACACTGTCCCCAGTGACGGGACTGGCAGATTACCGCTCACTCCTGCTCTAGAGGAAGACTCAGTCCCCTTTCCTGCTTTACCCCTGAGAAATATGGAGACTATTTGGTAGCTGCTTAAAGAGTTTTTGACCGAGTAAGAGAGCCTGACACTGCCCAGACAAGAGAAACAAAAATGGGCCGCTCTGGGATTCTGTGAGGGCCCCTTAAGTGCTTTTATAAATGTGTGCAACACTCTCTCAGCCTCCTACGGGGAAGTCATTCTGGCTAGACTGAAGGCTACGCAGCGAGTCAGGAGATTGAGTTCAACTCGTCCTTGCCCCTGACTCACCAGGTCACCTGGGGTAGATTTCCAATTTCTGTGCCTCAGCGTCTGTGTGTGTAAAATGAAGAGTTTGAACCAAGAAATCATTAAGATCTCTTCTAGCAATAAAATTTAGGTTATATGAAAATGACATCTGAAACCTAAATGTTCAGTAACAGAGAATTTACCAAAACAAGAAAAAAAATGTCTCCACACAATGAAAGCTTTGGTTCTTCTTTCATATAAAGTCCTTTACTTTGTAAACATTAAATATTGCAGCTTAAATATTTTAAAGAGAAATCTGTCAGAGTCAAGGCAGGATACCTGGTAGCAATGCGCTTCCCTAAGTAGAGGGACGCCTGCAAACACTCCTGGTAGCAAAGCCAGTCCGGCTCCAGGATAAGCGTTTCTCTGCTGATCATCACATTTGAAGTTACAGCAGGATTTTGTGAAAAGTACACGTGCTGGGAGTCAGGACACTCAGGGGCTAGTCCCACTCTGCCATAGCATTATGTGACCGAGGGTAAGTCACTTCCCACTCTAGGCCTGTTTCCTCACCTGTAAAATGGAATTGGATTAGATGATCTCTAGATCCTTTTCAATTCTAAGGTCCCATGAAACCTGGCATCAGCCCGCTGCAAAGTCTGAAGGTACAGTCCTCCACAAGGCTGCCCTCACTCCTGAAACAACAGGAAGTTCGGATAGTTCCCCAGACCATCCTCACATTCGATAATTCTCTGGAAGGACTCACAGAACTTACCGAAAGCAATTATACTCACAGGTGTATTATGGGAAAGGATACAGATCAAAAATAAGCCAAAGGAGGATGCATAGGGCAGAGTCTGGGAGGGTTCCCACACAAAGCTCCTGTTGTCCTTGGGGTACACTATCTTCTGGCATCCGTATGTGACAAGGCACCCAGAGTATTGCCAACCAGGGAAGCTCACCTGAATTTCAGTGTTCAGGGCTTTTATTGTGGTTTCATTTTGTAGGCTTGCTTGCTTGATTGATCGCCTGATCGAACTTGGTCTCCAACTCCCCCCTCCTTAGGTGGGTCTAATACCACAGGGCCCCCCTTCCCCCAGGGGCCCACCAGGAGTCACCTCATGGTCATACCCCATTAGGTGTGGTCTGAGGGTCCCCACCATGAATAACAAAAACACGCCTCCAATCACTCAGGAAATTTCCAGAGTTTAGCGGCTACTTCCCAGGGGGGTGTGTTGTGAACAAAGGCCAAATCTCTCTTTGGGCAAGGCCAAATTCTTTGTGACATACATAATTAAATTAATTTAGCAAATGTTTCTCAAATACTTGGATGCCTTATTCATCTGTGTTTCTACTGACTAGCACAGGCCTAGCCCAAAATACGTGCTTAAAATTAGGTAACAGACTTAGGGCCACAGTGATAAATGAGGTGCCCCTCTACCATCCTGGCTCATGCTCTCTGTGCCCTCGCTACCCCGGAAAGGGCCTCTGCGTCAGCCGCAGCGTCTCTCTGACTTTATGACTGTGTAACTGCGATCTTCTCAACCACCCAGTCCAAAGTTGCCACTAGCACTGGCTCCCACTCCCATCCCTTTTTAATTTTCTGCACAGTACTTGCTGTCAGCCAAGGTCATTCTCATCTGAGTGTCTCCTTGTCCCTTCCACTGGAATTTGAGCTCCTCCAGAGGAGGGACTTGTTCACTGCTGTGTGTCTCGGGCCTCGCAGAGTAGCCAGCATCTGGTGCACACGGGAGGGGCGGGCATGGTCTGCCCGGCACAGTCAGTCGTGCGCAGAAAAGCCCAACAGCAGTAACACAACCCAGCCTGTCTGCTTTTTGCAGTCGTATTTGTTGGGTGAGTTCCCAGCAGGAGTGTCTTCAGCAGCCCCAGCAGCATATCAGAGTTGGTGTCAGGATCCTATGAGCGGTTTTGGTGGAGTCCAGGCGGAGAGATGTAACCCAGAGCGTGTCATCTGGGGGTCCCTGGGGACCCAGCCAGGACACTGGGTGGCAAACTGAGCCCTTAGGTGCTGCCACGAGCTCACGGTCCACTCCTCACACTCAGGCCCCTCTCGCTGGCCTCTTGCTTCTGTGGCCCCAGGAGCTCAGGCTGCAAGAGCTTCTGGCCTGAGTCACAAGCTGCAGACGCTGCTTCTTGCCCAGTATTCTAGGTTGGGCCCCGGACAGACGGATGCTGAGCCATCTGTCTACCTTTCTCTCCTTCTCCATCTCTGGCCTGGCCTGCAGTCCCCCTGTTAGAGCTTTCATTTCTTGGAGCTAGAAGACTGCCCAAAGGAGGCTGGGGGCAGGGGGAGGGGAGTAGAGGGCACCCCTTACCTTGCTGTCAGTCAGCTCAGTAGCCCAAGGAGGATTAACTACAGAAAACAAATAGCAGAGTCGTCGGGGTGGGCCCAGGCCAGCTCTGTGTCCAGTCCAGAGGAACAGGAGTGGAGCTGTGAGAGGCACTGACTGAGTCACTGAAAGCTGGGAGGTGCGTGGCAAAGCCTTATTTGGCTGATGGCAGCTTGGCCTCAGCCTGTCTGGACTGCTGGCTTTGGGGTCGCCCTGA